GAACCACTACACAATATACTATATACACTACTAACTACTTACTTAACTAACTAACTACTACTACTACTACTAGTTACTACGTCTACTTGTGTGTTATTATATATATATATATATATATATATATATATATATATATATATACACGTAAATTCTAGTATTTAATGACTTTTTTTTAGTATTAATACTAGAATAATGTTATTTACCATATTTTACCAACAAGTACTGTTAGATCTAAAATCCCTATCTTTTGTAGTTATTCAACAAGAAAAAAAATAACTTTGGTATTTTCAGATGTAAAGCCTAGTTTACACACAGAACAAAGCTGTTAGTTCAGTACAAGTGTGGTATGCCATCTCCTTAAGTATTTAAATTATTAATTTAACTTGTTAATTTATGTGCTATTGATAGCATTGTCGTTAAATTGAGGAATTTTAATATTAATTTATCAATAATATGTAACAGCATCTAGATTTAGAAGGTATCCAAACTCAAAATACAATGTTAATAATATTAGATGTAGCAAAAACAATGAAATACTTCTTAAATATTTAGAGAATTAAGTTACTTTTATTAAGTCAGTGATTTCTGCAGAATCTGACTGTTGAAATAGGCACTATGAAACTGTTGTGTCTATACACTACATGATTACTGGAAAGCTCGCAGAAAATAGTGGAATGCTTTTGAAATGACAGACTAACAACAACCTTTTATAAAGGAAACAATACTGCAATGCTGTTGTTCAGATGTAGGGCCACTAGATACAGCATGACAGGACATAGCGACATTACAATTACAGCATGGAGAGGCTCCAAAATTATTTTAATATTACATACTACATTTTGTATATCTGTACTTTGCAGTCGGTGAGCAACAAATAGAACATTTGTGATGCTACAATTCACTACTTTCTTCTGTTCTCCACATTAAGCATGAATTATATTTATTAGAATCTAACTTACTGCAAATGTCACTTAGGTCTGAAACTAAATTATTTTGCCCTTGCACTTACAAGTGTTAGAATTACAAAAAGAAGTACTTCTTGTATAAAACACCGCCTTTGTTCTGTGCCTAAAATTACGTACAGCATCTTTCTTGATCTGCAGCCTTTGATGTTCATAAATAAAAAAAAAATTGCCAAATTTTTAAATCACTTTGGTCTTCACAGTATATGTTACTGATATTGAGTATAAATCAAAATCATTTAATATACAAAAGCTTGATGGATAAAGAATAACTTTGAACTTGTTCCTTATTACAAAAAATTAAATAGTATCAATTTATTATATCTATATATGTAATGATTTTTGTGTAAGTAACAGATTATATTCTATCTAATATAAATATATTTCTATAGTTAATAATAACACCAGTATTTAAGCTTTGCAAGTTTTCCTCATTTAAAAATCTATTAGTTGTTCTTTCATTTTCATAAAATTTTCTGGAACATAGAGATTCTAGTACATGTTCTGCCAAGCTTTTCCAATATGCATTATTTTTGTTTGAAATTGCACCTTGCTTTTTTCAGTTTCTCTTGATTTACTATTTATGCACTTTTTTAGATGTTTTTTAAATTATATACAATTCATTACTTACTCTGTTCTGTTTTTCCAACACGATGATAGAAATGCATCTCAGCAAAAAGTGGGCCATTACTGTGGGGCTCCTGTTAAAAAAAAAAGGTTACAGATCTTTTACCAGTGTATGAAATCACCACATATTTCCACAATTATTTTGATTTGCACAGAATGTTTATACAATTCATTCAACAACAGCATATAGGTCTTAGCAATTCAACTACAGCACTTTTGTTTTTAACTTGTAAACTACTGCTATAGTGCAAATTGAAACCTGCAATATTTCAACAACAGCAACTATAAAAACAAGAAATTCCAAGTAAAGACTAGGCTCCTTAGAATAATCGAGTTCCATATATGCAAGTGACACCAGAAGTTGCCAACACAGCAACTACTACTTTACTGTTAGCATCTGATTTTTTTAGTTTTTTAATTGGATTGCAAGTCTTCATTGTGAAAATTATCACTGACATAGAAAAGCAACAATTCATAAGACACTAACAAAGAAAAACGAGTTATTTTTAAACCAACATGTCCAAAATTGAAAACGGACTCAAATCACCAAGGTATTTAAAAACAGATTTACATTTAAATGATCTATAGTTGAAAAAAAAACAGTAACACAGAAGTAAATGATTCTATTATGCCAACAAGGTCAAATTGTTGCTTTGTTCGTTAATATTCCTAAATAAAGTGCGTGCTCAGAATATTTAAAAATTGAAACTGAGCAAAATAGCACATCATTGTATTTCTCCATACATATATAATACAAAACTCGTTATATCATTAAGGACACATCTGTATTAAAGATGATTACATCTAAGGAACTACACAGAAGCCTTAAAAGTGAAATAATCCTAAATAATGTGAGTTTCACACTTCATCACTATTTTTTCTTAATTTCTCAAACCTTTTGCACAAAGATATAAATAACAAATATATAGGGTATTGAGTACATTATATGAAAATGATTTTTAATATGAAAATCAGCAAGTCACACGAAAAACACAACCAATACAGTTATGATGGAAAGAAATGAATTTTAACTAATTTTTACATTGTTTAGCATTTTGTAGGAAGTGTGATGCCACCAAAATACTGATCACTTTTGGAAGGGTATGTAAAGATGTCTCCAAATCAAGGATTTCAATTTCTAAGTGATATTATTTCTACTTAATGGCACTAGAAAATAAAGTAATACGGATCAACCTGGGGTACCAGGACCATAGAGAAAGAGGCCTGCAACAAATTGTACCCCAATCATGGTAAACAAAGTGCAGCATCTTGTTACAGGTCATTGGCAAAAGCTGTCAACTTCACCCAGGTAACAAAATGTAACATAACAAAGGATATCCACCTAGAAACAAGGTCAACAGGGTATGATTCAACAACATAATGCTTCCAGTAATATCCCCTATTCAAAAAGTTGCAGAATTCAAGTACCTAAAGAATGAACACAGATACTCTTGTTGTTCCAAATGAAGACCTATTGGTCAAGTCATCAAATGCAGTATCAATGGAATTTTTATATATTTTTTTTTTTTTTATGAGACTGAGCTTTCAAAACATACCTTGTAAAGCTGTAATCCTCATACACTTGATGGAATAAGGAAAGCTTGCAAGGATGAATGGTGTGCTTTAGACATAACATCCTTAACCCTATAGCCCCCAGTACCAAATTTAAATCCCTTTCTGTGAATGTCACAAAATATTACTGAGTTATATTCAAAATTGTATATCACTTAAGTTTTTATTCCTATAGTTCAAAAGAAATAATTAAAAAATTCCAGTTTGCTCTCACTTTAGACTTTGTTATACAAGAAAAGACTATGATTAAAAATATCTTTCTAGCTGGCAATAAACTATATGTACATACAGATTGTTTACCAGTAACTTGATACAAACTCCTATAACTGAACTAGAAAGGAAATCATTATAGACATTCCTGAGTTCAAGCTATGATATGCAAAGTTGAAGCTGGTTTGCTTAGTGACTGTTTTAAGTTGAATGGCATGCTTATAATCAATAGAAAGAGCAGATTTTGCCTTTCAAGGTCATTTATTCTTACACAAAACATATGGTATACTTTCAGCACTATTATAATTAAGCTAAGTTCATTGATAAGAGCAGATTCTGTAGATTTTACTTTTATACTTTAGTTAATTATGCATAATTTGTGTTTTAAGATTTATATTTGAAAGTTTTAATTATTTTTTAAATTATTCTATACTTTAAATTGCTAAAATATTTTTGCACGCGTGTCTTAAAGCTATTATGCCAGAGGGGCTAAACCTAACAACTAAAGTTAAATGTAACATCACCCATGTTGTTGATGTGTATTGACATAAATAATCAAAGATAAAGAACAGGAGAGGAAAATAAAACATAAATAAGTTAAGTTAAAAGATAAAGACATGAAATTATGCATGTTAAACACTGAAGATTTAAATTACATGTTCATATTTCTATTTCTTAATCTTAAACATTTTCTTGCACCGTACATTGATGATAATAGCTAGAGTTGGTGATGTTGTAGAGAAAATGGCAAACATTTACCTTAAAAAAAGCTTTTAATATTCTTTTTGGAGGTTCTAAAGATTATGCAAGTGAAACATGAAAACTGTACTGAAAAAATTAGTGTTTTTATGTTTAACATAAATATATATATATACATACACACACTGCCCACCACAGGAGTATCTGATTTTTAGTGCCATAAGCCTGCGAATTACTGCTCAGACTAGGAGGGGTACAGTTTTTAAGGTACAATGCAAATTATTATTATTTTTTTTTAAATATTCACCAATATGAGTAACAAAACAAGTTATTTTAAAATGCAAGAATATTTATCTTCAATCCAAACTGGTAAGCTTTAGCAGTATGCTAACATAGTTGGATTACGAAAGACCCTTCACAAAACTGAGAGAGTGAGAAAAGATGAATAAATGCCAAAATAAGTGTAATCACAGAAGTTAAAAAATTTTAACAATATACACACTCAAACTAAACTATTATGACATTCATAGAGTTACAAATATATCTTCTTAGTTATAAAGTGAGTTGATGTTTTATACCTTTTGCAAGAAACACTTGTAACAAAGTTGGAATACAGAAATTACAGTCAATAATTAATAATATTCAATGGGAACACAATAACCAAGATGTAGTTTATTCCAATGTGCACACCTATCAAAGGTTCATGTACAAATCCAAAAGGGTGTTAAGCCCCATCAATGCAGGGAAGTAGTGAAACAAATTCTAGAATTTAACTAAGTCATCATTTTTTTATTAAAAATAAATAAATAAACAAAGGTAATCAGCATTGATAAGCAAGATAGGCTTAGTATTTCATAATTTTATATACAATACAATATTCAATTTCAAATAATTTATTGTGTGGAAACAGCACAATTTTATTTTTCAATTTTTGTATCTGAGACTGATACACCAAGCAAAATTTAAATACACAAGTTATGTTAAGTGGTCACAATTGTATGGCTTTTCTGAACTAAAAATAAATGTGAATACACAAGTGCATTTAAAACTAAACAGAACGTTAAACAGATGTTACACACACCTTTAATACTACAATTATGAGCATAGGCAAGAAAAATATTTAAGGTTACTTTATAATGAATGTCATAAAACTTTTATTAACAAATTAAAACAAGCACAACAGATGCTAAGCAATAAAAATAAATAAATAAAAAATTCCAAGAGTTTATTTCTAATAAACAAAACAGAATACATAAAACAAATACTTACAACTTTAATAACATATGAAGCTTCTGGTCCTACAATGTTTGATACATTATCTGAAGCTGAAAAATAATAAAACCATGTTCTTATTTTAAAAATTTTAAACCAATATTTGTAACAACTCAAAAAACACTTTCAATAAGAAATTAGGTTTCTCATTTGAGTATGAAAGATATTTTTCAAAAAATGTACATACATCTTAGCATTGTAAATATCATATAGCTAACCTGAGAAAAACATCAGAAATTTAATGAAATTGCATTTTAAGTGACTATTATGGCATTTTGAAGTGAAATGGATTTCCCCTAAAAATGAATAAGGTAGATCCCCTAATCAACACAAGTTTCAGCAAGATATCGTGAAGTAATACAGAGGTAATTAAAACTAACCAAGTCTCTAGTAAGAAATAAACTGACTGGACACAAGTGTTTAAGACACAAGGAAAACCATTCTTATTCACAAAATACAAAATAACGGAAGGTTGGCAGCACCTTTCGACAATGGGCTGTTGCTTCTACTGGAGAGGTAGATTAAACATACAGGCTTTATTCCCTCAATGTTTATATTAGGCTGACCGACTCTTCAAAATGCTGTTACGGACTAAATAAAACCTGCATTACTTAGTTGAATCAGTAATGACAGAAGTATCCAGAGTGATCAGCACTACCCATATAAATAATCATTCCCATTCAAACATATACGAGGTTCCAGACATTCAGCTGGTCTACAAGGTGCAGCTTTACAGCTATATCACCCATTGGCAGAATAACAGTTATCTACAAGTGATAACCGAGAACAAAGACGGCTTGAACAAAATCAACTTAATGACTTTCTTTACTGTGTTAGCCATTTTTCCAAATTTTAAGTTTATGAATGTGCAGTTTTTAACCTATTTTAAACAAAGAAATCAGAAAATGCATAATATGCCTCCATACACAAATTTCCTCCATTTTCTGATTCAGGCTTGTATTCAAGTCAAAATAAATTTTAATTGTAAAACCAACTGAATTTACAAATGCACATGGTCAAGAAGTACTATAACTTTCTCTTGCCTTTGTGAACACTTATAACTTAGATAACACAACCTATCAAAAGAATACATCTTTACAATAAGATTCCAGTTGAAACTATAATTTAAAATAATACAGTAGCAAATTTTTTAAACCACGAGTCAAAAAAATTACCAATGAAAAAATACAATCTCTAATACTTAATCAATACTTAACTCTTTCAGCATAGGCTCGGTCCCTGGGACCATCCTAGTAACCAATTTGTGCTTGTTATAGTTTTCATTCTATAACTTTTAAATTAGTAGGCAAATGTTAACAAAATTTGGCAGATTATCAGTAAACATTACAATGGTTTCATTTGCAAAATATAAATTTTTTATAAGTTTTAAGGTTTGTAAAGCAATGTTTTACTCGTTAGTTACTTTTTTTTTTCTTTTGACATGTTGTACTATCTATCAC